GGTTCGGATCCCACATGAGGGCCAGTGACACTGCCCTCTACAGCTAAGATGCTGAACAACAGCTCAACCTGGAGCTGGGCTGCCGTGAGTTGCCGGCAATGGCGTAGGCTGCAGTGGGCTGCTGTAAGCTACCGTAAGCTACCATGAGTGGCCAGCAGCCGCCATGAGTGGCCGTCCAATGGCTGGTGACCGATCTGCCTCACCTGGGAAGAGCGCAATGATAATAACCAACATGGGCCAGTAAGCAACGTCCTCCACACTAGACTGAAGAACAAAAGGACAGCAACTTGGCTGTTCCCCTTCCCGATTCCCCAGCGCTGTTCCCTCCCCCAATTCCCCAATAAAAAATTTTAAAAAAAAGTAAAGCCAAGGAGCTTGTCATTTACTAAGGAACGTGGACAGAATTCAATTTAAGTGGTGTTACCCAGGTGTTCTAGAGGGAATGTCCTGAGCTAGGCTTTTAAATAGAAAGTAAAGGTCAAAGATAACAAAAGAGCATTTTAAGTTAAGGGATTGACCACTAGTTGACAGTCGCCAGCAATGGAACTCCTTCTCACTGTGTGTAGACACAGCTTTAGGTGGTCCATCTCTGTGGACCTTTGCTCACACCTGCTTCCATTTCTTTTATGCTCACACTGCGTTATTGGCATATTACAGGCATAAGCTACTCACCTTATAATCATTCTTTTTTTATTTTAAAGGGATTGAAAGCTGTTATGGATTGAATTGTGCCTCCCCCAGCCGCTTTCCCCCCCCCCCCCCAATTCATATGTTGAAGCCGTAACCTCCAATGTTACTGTATTTGGACATGGGATCTTTAAGGAGGTAATTAAGGTTAAATGAGGTCATAAGAGTAAGGCTCTAATCTGATGGGACTGGTGTCCTTATAAGAAGAGGAAGAGACATTAGGGATGTTTGCACAGAGAAAAGGGCCATGTGAGGTTACAGCAAAAAGGAAGATGTCTGCAAGCCAAGGAGAGAGGCCACTGCAGAAATCAAACCTGCCAGCACCTTGGTCTTGGCCTTCTGGTCTCTAGAACTGTGAGAACCTACATTTCTGTTGTGAAGCCACCTAGTCCATAGTACTTTGTTATGACAGCCTGAGCACACTAAGTCAGGACTCAGCCTCAGCTTGGCAGATTTACTATAACAGCATCTTGTTGTATGGGACATCTTCAATTTGACTGCATTTTGATACATTTCAGAAATGAATTTAAAGTACTGTATGAGCATGGTTAAAGGCAAGTAGCTCTAAATAGCTAGAATGAACAACTTCTGGCTTTATCCTTCTTCAACACCACCCCTCTCCCTTCAGGCAACCCTGAGGGCTTTGCTTTCTGCAATTAATAGACTTATTTTTAGAACATTTTTAGGTTTACAGGAAAATTACGCAGAAAGTACAGAGTTCCTATATGCCCTATCTTGTCCCTTCACAGTTTCCCATATTGTTAACATCTTCATTGGTGCATTATATTTGTTGCCATTGATGAAGCAATAGCAATACATTATTATTACCTAAGGTCCATTGTTTACATTAGGGCTCACTCTCGGTGGTGTATGTTCCATGGGTTTAGCCAAATACATGATGACATGTGTCCACCATTACAGTGTCACACAGAGTAGTGTCACTGCCTTAAGAGTCCTCTGCGCTCTGCCTCTTCATCCCCAGTACTCCCACATCCCTAACAACCCCTGGCAACCGCTGATCTGTTTACTGTCTCCATGGTTTCTTGCCTTTTCTAGAATGTCATAGAGTTGGAATCCTACAGCGTGTAGTCATTTCAGATTGGCTTCTTTCACTTAGCCATATACATTTCAGGTTCCTCCGTGTCTTTTCATGGCTTGATGGCTCATTTCTTCTAAGTGCTGAACAATATTCCATCGCCTGGATGTTTGTTTATCCATTTACCTACTGAAGGACATCTTGGTTACTTCCAAGTTTTGGCAATTATGAATGAGGCATACATCTTTTAAGAGTAAGGACACTCTTTTCACATTACCACTAGACCATAATTACACAAAATTAACAATAACTCAATATATCACTCAATATCTTGTTTGTATCAAATTTTAATCCAGAATTCCTTCCAGGTCACACATTGCATTTGGTTGTTTTGCCTCATTAGTCTTTTGTTTATAACAGTTCTCTGCCTTTTTTTGTTTGTTTGTTATTTGTGACAGATTTTTTTTTTGAAGAATCCAGACCAGTAGTCTCACATTCTGAATTCTTTGATTGCTTCCTCATGGTTTCATTTGGTTTCAGTAGTTTTTGGCAACATTTCAAAGTACATGATGTCATAATGTCAGCTTTTCCGGTTTTGTTGCTGATAAGCTCCATCATTTGGATGAGGTGGTGATGACCAGAACCCTCCATTGTAGAGGGACATTTTTCTCTTTGTATAGTCTGAGGAGGGATACTTTGAGACCATGTGAATTTTCTGTTCTCCAATGCTTTTGGAATCCATTGATAATTATTGATTAAACTATTACATTGGGGGTTGCAAAATGTTGATTTCCTAATTCTATTCTGCTTTCTACATTTCCCCCCACTTTTTGATTATCATGATAGAATCATGACCCTTTCAGTGTTTTCTCATCCATGTTGACATCATTGTTTTTGTTTAGCATGCTTTTAAAGGACGCTTTTGTTGTTTTCCTGTCTCCTGAAGATGTTCCTATGAGATGGAGGGGAAGAGGTAGTATCTGCTCTCTCCCCTAGTGTGATAGGGAAACTAACACAAGAAATTGATCACATTTTTAAGTTCCAGTGTGGTCAAGGACAAAGAAATCAGAATTCTGACCTGCCGGTTTCACTAACCAGTGTCCATTTCACCAGATATAACTGACTTGAATGCTGCTCTGAATACTTGGATTCCCCGTTCATATTTACTTTTTATTAGTAAGAGGTGAGTTTGACTAATTTGGCTTTAATTAGATAAATGACAATGTATTACAATTGTGTTTTTTGATTTTTTTTGTATGTCATCACTTTCCACAGATAGAGAGTAGAATGCTGTCAGACTGCTGTATCCCAGTGCCAGACTGCCATAGTTTACTTCTCTATTTCCCTTTTCTTGAGTATGACAGAGATACAGTAAGCAGCATTTTGCAAACTAATTTGGCAATGGAACATCTTTTCTCCAAAGAAGTTGTGTACATCCCCTTCTTTCAAGCCTTTCACTTTACCTAGGGGGCATGATTTGTTTCAGCAGGTGGTCATTTAAATATTTAATAAAATCAAGAGTGAGGCAAGGGCTGCCGTGAATGGTTGTGCAAGTGTGTGTACTACATAATCCAGGGGGGCACTATTTACATTATAGTGTTTGTGAATAGAGCCCCCTGGAGTTGTGCAATGTATAGTCTAAGTGGTCCTATACAAGGGGCCCTGGTAAGTGGTATTGTTGTTGTCAGTTGAAAGCAATGGAAGTTTGGAAGAGGAGGTAATTTACATATATGGACAGGGATGGTATAAAATAAAATCAATTGTTATATTTAAATTTTCTTATACTTAAAATACCTTATACTTGGAATTTCTGTGGTATGACAAGTTTTGACAATGGCTTTCATAAGCCTTTTTAAAATTGATTATTGTCTTGAAATTTAGCAGCATGTGTTAGTCATCATAGGTTTACTGCTGTAATAAACAAGCTGGTATTCTCAGTGGTCTGACCCAATAAGGTTTATTTTTCTCCCAGTCACATCCAGTGTGGGTTGTAGCAAGCATAGGCTCTGCACCACACAGTCATCCAAGGACTCAGGTCTTTGAATCTGGTGGCTCCAATGTCAGTCCTCTGTGATCTTGGAGTCCTTCACTGGCTCCTCTGCCTCTGATTGGCAGATGAGGAGAGAGTGTGAGGAAATGTGCAGGTAACTTGGGAGGGGTATCCTTCCCCTCCACCCATATGTGCCCGCGCAGTCAGTTGGAAGCTGGGAAATGTCTCTCTGTGTGCCTAGGTGAAAAAGGCACTGGTGTTTAGGAACAGACATGAGTTGTTATTGCAAGGCTGACCTCTGTTCTCTATTTTGTTTCTTCTCCAGGAGACTTCTTGGCATCATCACAAAAAAGGATGTTCTGAGACATATGGCCCAGATGGCAAACCAGGACCCTGAATCCATCATGTTTAATTAGAAACAAGATGGCACTTATTTTGAGAAAAACACAACTGTGTCATTTTTAAAGAAATAAACAAATGATATGTTATTATCCTAATGAACTATCATGTGCTGGGGGCAGCGGAAACAAAAGCTTTGTTTGAAAGGAAGGAAAGAAAGATGAAACCTTATTTAAAAAAACAAATCAATGAGTAGGCATTTTATAGCTTTAACCCCTTATGAGTTTTAAGCTGTGTTTCTTAATGAGTTTACTAACTGCTATGGGGGCATGTGGGTGGGTGTAAACGATGTGGTTTGTAAAAGGACAGAACACAAATGCTGAATCAAGAAATGTTTGCCCTTCTTTTCAAGGCTGATGTTTCTGAAGCTTTGAATCCAAAGGGGTATTGGCGTGTCAGCGTCCTTATTTATTGATTCCTGAAGTTTTGCTGCTATGTTACTGAATCAGACTAAAGGTATTTGCACGCACTTTGTTGGAAAAGAAAAAGAAATTACATTTGAATATAGTGAAAGCTGCAGGTATGCTGGTGGGTTCACTCATGACCATCCCGTTTCTTGCTCACATTCTCAGCCTATTATTCTGCTTGTCCATCAGTTTCTAAACCAACATCAGGCTCAACTGCTCTGATGGGCATGAAGAAATCACTTCTCTATGCAAGACCAGCATCTTGGGACTGCCTGATGAACTATTGGAGCACTTAGTGCTGTACTCTATTTCCTCCCCTACAAAGAGATTCATCTGTATTGTTAGAATATGCTCACCCAGTCATTGATTTACGTCCCTATTGCATTTGCTTCACTTATTTATAGCTGTTGCCTGTGCATTCTTAAATACTGATCAGTCCACTTTCTATGGGCCATATCCTATATGCTGCCAGCTTGCCATAAGTGTGCTTTAATTTCTGAATAGCATATACAAGAGTCAAAACAGTCTACCCAGTGTTACTACTTACTTTTCCTCTCAGATCTTATTAAATACGGCTGCAGTGAGGGTGAGGCATACGAGTTCTCAGTGGGAATTCCTCCAAATGGATTGCAAGAGAAATACTAAATTGATTCTAAATCTGTTCCATTCCCTTCTCTGTAGGATGCAAAATGCCCAGCTGTAATGTGTAAGCATGCACGTTCATACCAGCAATCAAAGCACAGAAGGACAGAGTTAAATTTTAGACAGCCAATTTGAGCATCGGGTATCTTTATATTGAACCTAATGATGCATTTCTTCTTTTAGTCAGGACTTCTGTCTTTTCTGGGAGAAGGAATTAAGCTGTGTTGTTTTTTTTTTTTGGTCCACTGTCATCTGCATGAGAGTTATCCCGTGTGCCCTTTCTCTTTAGTCTTTGTTCTTTCCTTTTCACTGCATTGTCCTCAGTCTTTTCTGTCTCTTTCTTGGATATTGATGTATCAGGAATGCATTTGGCTGCAAATCATAGAAAACCCAAGGAACAGCAATGAGCTGACTAGGAAACCTGGGGCTGGGTTCTCAGGGCTATCTCTATAATGTCATCACGGGTCCACACTTTTCGGTATTTTTCCCACCATCCTTTGTCCTTTGGCTTACTGCCCATAGTCACAAGATGGCTACTGAATTGCCAGGTATGATGTCTGCTTTCTAAGCATGAAGAGGAGGAAGAGGCAAATAACAGGTGCAGTGATAACATCAGGAAGGCAAAGCTCTCCCAGAGATGCCCGCTTTCCCCCATTGGCTAGAATCCTGTCACATGGCTCCCCCAGCTGCATGTGAGTCTGGGAAGGACTGTGTTTGGCATGGTGTATTACCCCCTGAACAAGATATAGATTCTCTTAATAAGAAAGCAGGGATTGGTCCTTGGAAGGGGAGTGTTGTCTGCTATATTGGATGCCATCATTGTGTCCCTGTCATTGTCCTTCCTGTCTTCTTTACTTTTTCTTGCTCTTCTAAGATTTGACAGAGAACTCCCAATCAGAATCCATCATTTCTGACTCTAATAAAAATGTTCATTTTGGATATAAACCTAGCTACAAGCAGGTTTCTGTGAAAACTTCTAATTGATGTAAGAACATAGACTAATATGTTCTCTGGGTTAAAAATAAATGTTAAAGTCCGATCATGCTGACAAACTATGGAAAATTTGTTTCTGTAATTGGTCCCCTACAAAATAATATCAGATAGCCATTTCAGCATGGAAATATTGGTCAATAGCAGAGAATTCAGTCTTTGGACCTACGATAGAATGAAATTTGTTGTCTCATTTGCAGTACGTAGATCCTAATATTAATGTTGTTATTGGGTTTCCATGGAATATATGCAAATGAGGCTGGTTTCTCCTGGACTTTAAATCCTGAAAAGTCTTAAGGATTGCTTTATGTAGTTCCCCTTTTATCCCCATGTGGCCTCCCAAACGAGTATTAGTAATAGCCTGGATTTAGATAATCCAGGATGCCCTTTTAGCTGAACAAGGAGCTTCAAAAGGCAACATGAAGCAGTGAATAGGCAGCCAAAGGTCAATGACATCACAGAATTTTGTCCTCCAGCTGAGGCCATGGAAGGATGAGGGGATAGTTTATGCTGGGCCAAGGTCACCGAGGGCAGTTGTGTCTGAATTCACAGGAAAACAGTTGGGAGGAGTGTTAACTTGACTTAAATAACCTAACCTTGTTTTCCTTCACAAGTTGAACCTCTGATTTGTTGTGGGGTTCAGGCTTTCCTCAACGGAAGGCCAGGGTCACACAGGCAAGTTAAGGTCAAGGATGGGGGAGTTTGCAATTCGGGACTACTAGAGCCAATTGCCTTCCTCCTCTGGAGCCTTAACTCAGCCCTTGCAGTCCACTCAGCCATTGGCCAAACTCCATGGGGAATGTGACACCAAGCTCTTTGTCCCTGTTTCTTGGGTAGGGATAGGGATTGGGTACATGGGCAGGGATTCTGAAGGTATTTGCTGTATCCAAATGTAGAACTTCATCCACTTTGCCTGGTGATCGGATGAGCAAGATGAATAGAGATGGGATGTGGAGATGAAACCAACTTTTTCCAGAATAATGTTTTTCTTTTTCTTTTCCAGAGCTTTAGACATTTGTAGAACTTTCTGGATTCTTTCTGAATCAGTTTTTATGTAAATAAACAAATACATAATGGAAAAGGAGTCTCTAACGAGGCACATCAACCTATTTGTTGCTCTCCCTCTCTGTTACTAAGGAACTGTGTTGTAAAAGGACAGACACCAAATAAAGAGTGTACCGAAAGTGATGTGTGGATTTCTTGCTTTTCAGTGCGTCCCCTGGGAATGCAGGTGTGAATGCAGGTGTGCGCATGGCTCTTAAAGAAAGGGAATGTGCTAGAAGCAAATCAGTATTCAGTGTTTGCTGTTACTTGGAACTAGGCAATCTCAAATTTCTCAATTCAGTCCTTCCCAAAGACCTTACAAATGAGAAGACAGGTCAGCAGATATATTTTTGGCCCTAATAAGCCACAGAAAGTGAAAAACTTTGAGCAGTTTGTTTCACTTAGGTGAGAACTGGTTACTTTAAATGATCAACATGTGCAAACACTGCTTAGTATTCATTAGCAGATGTTGGGCTGGAAGTGATAAGATACCTGAGGAGAACTGATGAACTGCCTAATTGTCATAGTATGCCTTCGTTTTAATCTTGCATGTGCAGTGTTTTATTAGACTCGGCTTCCGACCTTTACACTGGTTTACATGAGGGGGGAGCCTGGGTATCTAACTTGGGGAACACAAAGCAGACTCCATTTTCAGCGGTGCGGCCATAACGATTTATTTACCGTCGTCTGCATGCTGGGAACAAGCCTACTACTACATGCGACCTTTACGAGAGCTATTCGCATTTGGTGTTTTTTATTGTAACACTAAACATTGGCACCTTATTAAAAATTAAATATTTGAAGTTTTTAAAAAAATAAAACAAGCATAGAGTCCTCAAGAAGCATGTTGTAAATGGAAGAGATACTGATTTCACAACATTTTTACCCAAAGGAACCTCCAGAAACCTGATTCTGGTGACTGCTGAAGTATCTCGTTTGTTAAAGACCCATTCTTAAGATTGTCATGCAAGATTACGACATCAGTTCAGTCATCTTTAAGATCTCTTGTTCTTAGCCTGGTGGGTGATAGCCAAATACAAATTCAGCCTGGGGCTATAAATTTCCATGGTTGGGGTAGGATCACTGTCCCAGGCCATCTGTGTGTCTGCCCTGTGCACAGAACTTGGGGAAGTCAACTTGGGTAGTGGTCTAACATTCATTCATTCTTTCATCCTCTTTTAAAAAAATCTGTTACAAAGGGAATATTTTTTTCTGTGAATAGTTTTTTTATTGTTTAATTTTATTAAATGTATTGGGGTGACATTGGTTAATAAAATTATTTAGGTTTCAAGTGTACAATTCTGTAATATGTCATCTGTATATCGTATTGTGTGCTCACCACCCAGAGTCAAGTCTCCTTCCGTCACCATATATTAGACTCCCTTTACCCTCTTCTACCTCACCCCACACCCCTTTCCCTCGTAACCACCATATTGTTGTCTGTTTCTGAGTTTTTGCCTCTTTGTCTTGTTTGTTCATTTGTTGCTTTCAGTTTTATATCCCACATATGAGTGAAATCATATCATTCTTCACTTTTTCTGTCTGATTTATTTCACTTAGCATGATATTCTAAAGGTCTATCCATGCTGTTGCAAATGGCAATATTTCATTTTTTCTTACGGCTGAATATTATTATTCCATTGTGTATATATACCACATCTTCTTTATCCAATCATCTATCAAAAGACACTTTGGTTGTTTCCATGTGTTGGCCACCGTGAATAACACTGCAGTAACATAGGGGTACATATTATCCTTTCTTTCAACAGAAAATTATTCCTTTGGAAACCACAATTGCTTTGAATTATGTTCTTCCCTACCAGGTTTTTCTATTTTGAAATTTTCAACTTTACAGAAAATTTGAAAATTAGCACAAAGAATGCCCACATACCTTTGACTTAGAAGAGGCAGTGAAAGGAGTCCCTCTGATTAGGGGAGGGAGCCAGCTCCGGGGACACCTGGGGGAGGATTCATCCTCAGTAGAGGGGTAGCAAATGCAAATGTCCTGAGGTAGACACAGGCCTAACCTGCTGGGGGCCCATCAGGGGTGAATGCCTGCAGGATGTATGGTCCTTGGGGAAGGAGTAGGGGTATTTGAAGTTGGTTTTGTTTTTCCTTTTGGGGGGAAGGGTAGACACAAGCAGATGCTTCAGAGTCTTATAGGGCCAAGTAAAGACATGGGATTCAGAGGAATGACATGATTTGATTTGCATTGTACACAAATGATTTTGGCTGTTGTATAACAAGACTAGAAGCAGGAGTCTGGCTAAAAGATTCTTGCAAATAGGTGAGTTATGATGGTGGCTTGCCCCAGAGAAGTTTTTGAATTCTGAGTATATTTCCAAGGTAGACCCAACAGATTTGCTGGTGGAGTGGATATAAAATGGTACAGCTAAGTTGCCATTTACTGAGATGGGCTAGATTAGGTGAGCAGCTCCATTTTTGAAATGCTACTTTGGAGATATCTATTGGACACTCAAGTCCAAAGTTCAGGGGGATCATTAGGGTTGGAGACATAAATCAAGCCATTGGCATATCAGTGGTATTAAAGCCAAGCTTGGAAACTTCTGTGGTTTAATGCTATCCTAAGAGCAAATAGAACCAACATTCTAACAGAACTTTAATATGGAGCTCTAATTTAGGGAGTCACACTGATTTAGATGACTGCACTTGAATTGTGGCTACCTTGCCTCTTGGCTGTGTGACAAAGGTATCAAACGTCTCTGAGCCTGGGTTTCCCCATCTCTAGAGTGAGCTACTGCTCTTGACCACTAGTAGTATGGCTGTGAGAATTAAATGAGATAATCACTGTAAAGCATTTGGCATGGAATAGACCACACAGAAGGTAGATATTGTCATCTGCTCAGGTTATGAAGCCTTCCCAGTAGCTCTAATTGGAAATTAATTAATTTTTATGTTCTTAAAGGGCATATTACACTTTAATTATAAGACCCCTGAAAGTAAACCTAGATTGGACTAACCAGTTACCTTTGTTTCCACCTTTTCCTGTGGTCATTTTTCAAACAACAAAAAAATGAAAACAAAAATCTCATATCTCTTAAGGGATGTCAACAAAACTTCTCTGCAACTCCAAATTAATGGAAAATTGTTGGAAAAGAAACCACATGGTAGGAAACCCCATTTCTTACATTGGCTTGGAGAGCAGAAAAGCATAAATACGCATGGATACTGAACTCTTGGTTAGCTTACAATATGGAGCAAGAGTTCATGAAACACAAGACCGGATATAACTTGGCTTATTTACAGACAATGTAAAACCCAATACCCACTACACTTCCAGGCAGAGAAAAATCTCACCGGCGTGGTGTTAATGAAGAAATAATTCTGAGTAAAACTCATGAAAGACCAGCTTTTGTGGGCTTTGGATATTTCCCTTCAACACGATGTAGTTAAAAACCAGAGGGGGAGAGTGAGCAAACAGGATTTGTCCATCAGGTTTAATTGTGGGAGCTTAGCTAGAGCGAACGGAATAGCCTTGCAAATAAATGTCTAGGTCAAGCAGGCTTCTTCTCGGGCTTTCATGAGCTGAGACAGGACCAGAAACTTCTATGTTCTCCCGGGACAATGCAGTCCGGCCGAACACAGGGGAGGCTGGCGTGCTTGTTGTTACAGCTCTTCCCCAGTTCACTGGTAGTTAATTGGCTAGAAAGAAGCTACCATATGTGAAGGCAGATAGGGAGCATCTATTTTTGGCAGTTCCTCAACATTGCATCTCATTAAAGAAATGGTTTTTTTTTTCTTTACGAATGAGCAGTAAGCAAAGAACACCTTGTGGGGATTTCCAAACCCCGTTACTCAGGGTTTGGCTCACAGAACGAGGGAGCAATTTCTATATTCCAGCGTTTGTTATGGAACACATATTTCAAAGATTAAACAGCCGTCCTCAATCCAAACTGATTCTGTCAGAGAAATTGAAAACATATACATATATTCTCGTCCCGCGGGCTGCCTGACAGGTGAGTACAGAGGGCGGTTGCTGGCAATAGAACATTCCTGACTCTGCGGGGCTGCGTGCTCATTTCACACACTCACACTCACTCACTCTCAGGGCTTCCACCTGTTCCCAGCTGACACTAACCCAGGCGGAAATTGGACCTAGCTAGCTTCCTTTTGATGAACAGATTTCCTTTTCTGACATTTCTCAAACTCCAGTTTGTCCCCAGAAAGACTAGAGCATTTCCAGGAATGGCTGTGGGTGGTTTGCATGGTCACCAAGGAACTTTCTCCAGGACGTTGCCAAGCGCCCAGTTACTCCATGGGGCAGGAGTCTCACCTGGTTATTAAAGACCTGGGAGAACTGGCAGGTCTTTAGGCGGTGGGGATGCTCTTCCCAAAGTGCTTCCAGGAGACCGCGTTTCTGCAGGATGCTGCTAGGTGCCCAACGGACAGAGTGGATTCTGTGGCCAACTAACTTGGTAAGTTCCATCTCATGGGACTGGGGCTCAAAAGACCAGGGCTTGGGGAGCACTGCAGTGGGGGCAGGAGCGTGAGGGTCCAGGAATTTTGCTGAGTTCAGAAAGCTGGATGAAGATCCCTGGTGTTAGGCAAAGCTGGGGTGGGGAGTCTAAGGCCTGGGGACAGGCTTTAGTGCATCTGGGTGACTGGGGAAGAGTGTCCCCCATCTTTAAGCAGAAAGCAACGACTTAGAGAAAGGGGACATTTGCCTTTTTCTGAGGACCTAATGGTGCACCTGAAGACTGTGGTCATCTTACATGGGAATAGATCTCACACCAGCTGGGCATTTTGAAATGAATGACTTCACATTCAGCCAGCTGTGTGATCTGCCCTGTCCTCCTTCCTCAGTTCTCTCCCCCTTGCAGTCCATACACATGAGCATGAATAGAAAATGGAATTTGCTTCTTTCATATTATTAGAAAGATTCCCAGCTGCTTTCTTGAGTCGACTTTGAACACTTTTGTGTCTTTATTGAAAGTTTAGAGCTACGGTTGGCAAGCTACAGCACGTGGGCTGAATCCGGCCTGCCACCTGTTTTGTAAAAAATGTTTCGTTGGCACACAGCCACACCCATTCATTTCTGAATTGTCAGTGGCTACTATCAAGCTACGGTGGCTAAGTCCAGTAGTTGCAGTAGAGGCTGCATAGCCTGCAAAGCCTAAGA